CTAGAGATTAATTTATAATTACTGTACATATAGAAACATACCCAATCCGCAAATAAAAAAATAGGTCACAATGATGTTATCTACTTTTTTTTTCTTAACACTAGAATGATTAAAGTGACCAATTCTTAAATTTTTAATTTTTAACTAGTTACATTATAAAACTGCCTTTGCATTGAACCATGAACTGGAAATACTTGAATATTTTTTGTTATTTATAATCGTATGAAAATAAACTTGTAACCATGTACTGTTTAATTTTTTAACAACGAAATGTCTTATTCAACTCGCGACCTCTTTGTATCATCTCTCATTAATCAGAATATAATAATTTTATTGTACTATCATAATATTTTATAATGGAATCGTAATGAAATTATATATTTTTCTGAACACTAATGAATGCATCATTGAGAAAAATTAAAGAAGCTAGAGCATGAATAAAAATTTGATTGACAATCTGCGCGATCTCACATAAAAATGCATCAAAGATTTATTGTATCGTATAAGAATAAAGTGTATATAAAATTTATTGACGATCTCGATACGCGTGAACACTAGGTATTCTGAAAATTGTCGACTGTTATCTCCCCTCGTGTGTGACTCGTTTCCTCACTGCGTTGAAAACGAGAATTAGAAAAATTTAACATCAGTGAAATAGAGTGGCGGGGTTAAACAGAGAATTGTAGTTTATTCGTTCAGACGTTTGTCAACGACTTCCTTCATTTTGACTTTCTCAATATAATGTTCCAATTTTAGTTTTTGTCCAAAAACAAATTGAATAATACATTAACATTAAAAAACAAACTTTTTACTCATAGAGAAACTCAAATTTTCTAACGACTTACATAAGCTCATATATCTCACTTACCTTTTGTATGATTGTTATGTAAAATTTTAGCTGCTTAGATTAGGCGAACATATTATTCTTTGATCATCTTGATAAAATAAGATATTCTTTGCATACAATTTTCAAAAGATAATCAATTTTTAAGATATTTTTTGCATACGATTTCCAAAAAATCGTCGATATTTACACTGTTATGACTACGCAAACGAAGATCGTGTAACAATAAATATGCACTAATTTTGAAAACTTGAAATCCTTATTTTTTCAGTGCATCGTTCGTTTATTTTTCTAAAATGTCATTGCATGATATGGCAAGTGGAGAACTAAAGATCTACTTTTCTTTGAAAATGCTGCAAATTAAAACGTTTCTTAAAATATTAAAAAATATTGTGACTAATTTGATTTTAATATTGGTTTTATGACAGTTATTTCTTCGATTTTATAAGGTATTAAAAAGAAAGTGTCCAAGATTTCAAGGACTTATAATACGAAAGGAGCAAAAGATGTATCAACAATAGTTCTTAAATTAATCCTGTCTCTGTAAAGCTAAATTCTGGTACTAAAACGGTATTTAGTATGCGTATAAATTCAATTTGTCTGCATAACCTTGCAGTAACATTATGTACTATAATTTAGAAGAAAAATTCTGTGTCGGAAATAAAATGATACAATATAACGAATTGAAACTTTACCAAATAGATATTTTTTATTTCTTCCGATAAATACTATAAGTCTTAAAGATACATACTTGTTTAGTTTTTGCATTAAAATTTATTCTGATACATTGAAATGTATAAAAAGCATAAGAGGATATCTGACCAGTTTTAATATACAGGGTGTTTCAGCAACTGGCTCATCTCGAAATGATATACCTTATGAAAATTTGGAGACATGAAATTTAAATGGCATGAATCTTATAAGCTACAACATATCCTCATTTATTTTAGGTGAATATGTATATAAATATGTAATGTTTCACTAATGAAGCAAAAATGTTTCCAGATATCCCATTGGCAACCAGGAATTGCCGTATTTTACAGAATGGGTGAAAGACGTTTTAAATGTGGATATAACCGTAAAAAATATATCTCAGCCAATCCCAACGAACCTGCCAGATTCGTTTCTATCATCGGAACTATTAGATGCGATCCAAGCTTTAAACATTGAATATTCTACAAAAGGTATCGACCGGCTTATTAGAGCTCACGGACACACGCTGAGAGAGATATTTAATCTGAGGTACGGATCATTCCAGCGGATACCAGATGTTGTTATTTGGCCAAGTAAGTACCATTGAAACACACGCACTTTCAGTTCGTACGAACATTGACCTACGTTTCTCAATTGTTTCAGTATCGATTCAGTTCTTTGAAATTCATTTATTTTGATTAATTGGCGTAGTTGTTTGCCAGAGCAAGAATTTAAGAAAATGTTAGCGTTCCGTTTGATAGAAACAGTGACCAACGTTTCTGAATTATTTCATGTGTCTTAAATTATTAATAGAGTTAATTAACATTTAATTATGAGTTTGCAGGATGCTCAACTGCGTACGCTAGTCCTTTTAAGTTCTACAAGTCAAAACAGGATGAAGATCAAGAGAGATGAAATTGTGGAGGTGGCTTTGTTTTCAAATGATTAGCAATTCCAAATTCATCAATAGCTACGCGCGTGAGTCGAGTCATGAGGAACGTTTAACAGTGACGTACCTTGCGAAAGACGGAGCTTGTGACCTGGTGTCCCATATGTAATGTTTTGAAAACCTCGCACAGATCGTTGCACGACATCAAACTTGATATATCTACTTCAACGTTATTAAATTATATTTACCACACACTGCGACCGTTTCGATTCGGTCGTTATTTTCAATATTTGTCGTTCGCTATTTTCACTTTTCTCTATATACGAAATATTATTATACACCAAAATCGAAATATAGATAGAAAATTAAACACCTGGTTTAATAGCAGCGAATAAATCAAGAAATGCAGACTATTTTCTACCTAGAAAATATATCCAACAGTCTGTTTGTGTTGGTAACGGTTGCTAAACTGAGATGTTGGACAAATCCTGTGCGAAAGACTAAAGTGTTACGCAGGTCAGGTAGACAGTTACGATGTTTCACAACTAAAACTTTGACGCTTACCGAATAATCTGCAACCACGCGTCATAACAATGGACTTTAAAACTGCAGTACCTTTAAAGAAGAACTATCTTATTAAACTTTATTCCATTGTTAGTCCACGTTTTTTTTTTTTTAAATCGTTTTCGTGGAATAGATACACGCTAATTCGATTCAATGGCAACAGTACATTTTTTGTTTTAGGCATAACTTGTCTATTTGTAACTTGGGTATGACTTTTCTAAAATCTACACTTTCATTTAAATACAACTCGTTTTTTAAATTTCAAACTTGAATGATGGATTTCAGTTTATGGCACACCATTGATCGCATTCTTACTATCCGAACTCATGATCATCATTAACAAATTATCGTAGCTACAGGAAATTTCGATTTGATAGTCACTTAAAAGCAAAACGAAGACCATAATTTATTTACTTTTGATTTTCATACTATTTCGGTACGTAAAAAAGCAGTCAAAAATTTATCTTGTCTATAATCAAATACTGCGTAAATTATTCATAATTATTTATATTAATACATTTTCCTTTTTACAGATATATTTATATTTTCTAAATACTATTTGAACGATTCTTTCCAATCGTGTTTTTTTGTTCGAATTAGCTCTACTTTACACTGTTATTGATTAGAATGGCTGTGGGAACAAAAGAGTTCTCAAGCCTTGACTTAGATGTACTATGCTATACTTCCTGAAACCATACATCTACAATAAGATGCTTGACATCAACAAATTACAAATAAATTAGAAAATTAAATAGCTATGTTACAGTTTACGTGTATAATTCCCGTAATTTTGCACTTACACAAAAATTCGTTATTGCAAATATATAGATTTCAGAAAATCATTAATGGATTTTTTGTTATAATGATTCTATGCAAAGTTTTATCGAAAATCGAAACAAATCATTCAGCAAGATCTTTTTGAACAAGAGGAAAATTTATTATATGTTCTCGGAAATGCAACCTGGTTCTCTAGATTGATGTTGCAGTTTTTTAGATTTATTTACTAAATTGTGCACTTAATATTTAAGCATTATATTTTTAGAGTGCCACGATGATGTCGTTAAAGTGATTAAACTGTGTACTCGCTATGGGGCTGTCTGTTTACCATTTGGTGGTGGAACAAGCGTCAGCGGTGCCTCATCTTGCCCGATAAATGAGCAGCGAACGATTATCTTGCTGGACACTTCCCAAATGAATAGAATATTATGGGTAGATAGGGAAAATTTAATCGCCTGCTGTGAGTCTGGAATTCTTGGTCAGGACCTCGAAAAACAATTACGGCTTCAAGGATTAACTTCTGGCCACGAACCCGATTCTTATGAATTCTCTAGGTACATGAAATAAAATATTAAATAATTTATAAAAATATATGCTTACCTGGCAATAAAATTTCATTCTTTGGGTATGATTAAAAAAATAAATTTCATGTAAATCGCTATTTTCAAGCTATAGGCCGCGGAATAATAGCTGCTATCTTACGCTAAAGCTGGGAAAGTGATTTATTTATAAAAGCATTCGAGAAGGTTCTTTTAGGTAGACTAATTAATAATAGGTAGAATAATTCTAATAATACCTAATAATAGTCTACCTAATAATAGGTAGACTAATTCTAAGAGAACACCTACATCAAGAACGCAAAAATAGCAGCTATTCAAAAATTTGTGTTACATGTGTTTAATGTTATTGTAGTCATTTTAATAACTTCAAAACAGTCTATTTGATCTAAAATCGTTAGTATTCGTTTGTTATCATAATTTGAAGATATGAAAAGTCCATTTGAGATATTAGAAACTGTAATGTAAATCCTTTAATTATTACTCGTATAATCGTTTTTATTTTTGGAAAGAACAGCTTAGGAGGATGGGTGGCGACGAGGGCAAGCGGTATGAAAAAGAATCGCTATGGGAATATCGAGGACCTAGTTATACGAGTGAGGATGGTTACTGGAAGAACAGAAGATACTGAAATAACGTTGGAAAGGGGTATCATGGTACCCAGAGCTTCGTGTGGCCCAGACTTTGACCACATGATCCTTGGTAGTGAAGGGACCTTGGGTGTCGTCACAGAAGTAGTAATGAAAATTAGGCCGTTACCAAAAGTAGTCAAATATGGTAGTGTAGTTTTCCCAAATTTTGAAACCGGTGTAGCAGCAATGCGTCAGGTAAATATCAGTTGTCACTAACTTCATATAACTTCGATATAACCATTATAATAGGCAGCATGAATAATTCCTTCATTGTTTCACAATTTTATTAATAATAACTCTGCTCAATCAATTTTAACTTCTTTTTAAGTTTCAACAACCCCAGTAGGTGGTTTTTCGTTGTTGCTTCAGTAACTTGCACAAAATATTTGTTTTTCACTGTTACTTCAGTGGAGACAGTAATTACCTTTTGTGTTTACAAATAGGTAGCTAAAGCACGATGTCAACCTGCTAGCATACGCTTGATGGACAATGAACAGTTTCAGTTCGGACAGGTGTTGCGACCAGAGAGTGGTTGGGGTAGTTTAATTTTGCAAGGGTTAAAGCAAGCCTACATCACCAGGATAAAAGGTTTTAAGTGGGACCAAATATGCGTTGCCACTCTGTTGTTCGAAGGCGATACAACAGCCGACGTGGCAGCTGGAGAACAAAAGATTTATAAAATCGCGAAAGAACATAACGGTGTGCCGGCGGGGGAGACAAACGGTGAACGAGGCTACTTGTTAACATTCGTGATAGCGTACATCCGAGATCTCGGATTGGATTACTATGTTCTGGCAGAGTCGTTTGAAACGTCTGTCTCCTGGAATCGTACGTTGTCACTCTGTAGAAATGTGAAGTCGCGCGTGGCCAGGGAGTGTTATAAGTATAAAATCGAACATTATTTCATTTCTTGCCGTGTGACGCAAACTTATGACGCCGGATGTTGTATATACTTTTATATGGCGTTCAATTATCAGAGTCTTTTGGATCCCGTCGAAACATATGAAGCCATTGAGCATTCTGCTCGCCAGGAGATACTTGCCAGTGGTGGTTCTTTGTCCCATCATCACGGCGTAGGTAAATTACGTTCCTGTTACTATGCGGACGCCGTTGGAGAAGTAGGTGTATCGCTGTATAGGGCAGCCAAAGCACACTTGGACCCCCATAACATTTTCGCAGCTGGAAACTTGGACCCAAAAAGTATATCGAAACTGTGAGCCAGTAAACAATGAAAGGCATTTAACAATAGTTTGAAATTACGACACTCTGGGGATCATTTTTAACTCGGGATAATCATAGTTCTTCTTAAAAGGAGACCGGTAATTAACAAAGACAATCGGTATTGTCCATGGTTTACCGACACGTTTCAATGGTATATAAGTGGTGGTGAAAAAAGAGACTAGTATTACAATATATAAATAAACATGCACCCTGGTGTTATTTGGTACAAATACGGAATTGTAATTGTATCGACGTTTTTATAAGTTATTATAAATAAACAAGACTCGCTTACTTATAGTACATAATCAATTAGCGACTTATTTACTGCGAGTTTCCTTTTTCTTAAGAAGTATTTCTTACATGGTTTTCCTAATAAAAGAATATTTATTGTTTTCAGTCCATAAAATTAGGGTGTAGGGGGGGAGTCGTCTGTTTTGTTATCGTTCTTGCTCTTCGTTATACTTAGCGCTTAGATATGCGGACAACTTTGTTGGATTATTATGTGTTTGATGATACAAATTGTTTGAAATGAAAAGCTCACTGGTTATCAGCCTTTAATGTGGATAGAAATGTATCGAAATCATATTCGTCATCATACTGCTGTTGTTCCCATAATTCAGGAAGGATATCTAAAATTGAACGACTAACACCGGGCACGCCAGTGATTTTAGACGCGGTTTCTCCTTGTTTGTCTGGCCTTTTTCCTTTGTTGTTTTCCAGTGAAAACAAATCCAACAACTGTAAAAAGATAAATAATAATTACAAGAGTAATCTACGAAAAACTATGCAAAATGTTTTCTTAGAGACTATTATAGCTTATTGGGAGGAAAACTATATTTTCTTTAATTTTGAATTAACTGAAAATTTAGCAGATATAATACCGTCCAAATTTTTTTTCTTATCTATTAACATGTTTAATAAATGAACAATGTTTAAAGAGAATGAGGCCCTTTGATACTAAAACTGCCGAGCGCTAAAAATGAAATTTCCAAAACATTTTATAAAAATTGCAATCAAATTCATTTGCAACAAATTGCATACAAAATATTTTTTATATCATTACAGCGATATATGTACATAATAATAACCTTGACATAATATGTACATTGATGCTTTAATAAAATCCAGTCACTGAATATTACCTGGTCAGTAGCCATTGTTTCCAAAGAAGCATTCTCTGGCGAGATGACGGTATTTGCCGTGAGAAGTTTGAACTTTTGAAGGCCCATAATCTTCTCCTCCACCGTAGACCTTGTAATAAGCCTGTAAACGTTAACTACTTTCTTTTGTCCAATGCGATGTGCTCGATCCATCGCTTGAAGATCCTTCATGGGATTCCAGTCGTGCTCCACGAATATGACAGTATCCGCACCGGTTAAATTCAATCCGAGCCCTCCGACTTGAGTAGTCAGTAAAAGCACATCGATCGACGGATCAGCATTAAATCGCGCCACTACAGAATGTCTTTGGGTCGCTGGTACACTACCATCAAGGCGGAGGTACGTAACGGTTGGCAGATGCGTGCGAAGAAGATCTTTCTCCACAATATCCAACATTGCCTTCAACTGACAAAAGATTAAAGCTCGGTGCTGACTGACTAATTGCTGATGCTGCGGCGACTGATTCTCTGGCGGATTTCCAGTGGATACACAATTACGATTTTGTTGTGGTTGTCCAATCCCACAATCCAACAGCAGTTGCTTCAGTGCCGGCAATTTAGCTCCATGCTCTATTTCGGCCAACGTGCTTTTTTGTTGCTTCAGCGAATTGAGAACCTAAACATATTTACAAATTAATAGCCAATCAAAAAAGTGAATTGATTGTAACTTAAATCATAATAGTGCTTACCGCCTGATGCAGTGGATGCCGTGGATTTAAAACTAGTTTAGGATGATTGCAAACATTGCGTAGATATCTCAATGCCTCAAACACATGACCACCTTGAGGATCACTTGCAGATGAAGTACCCGATGTGGCAGACAATAGAGTAGCGGAATGTCTGCTGCGGAAATCTTCGTACAACGTTCGTTGCAGGGGTGATAGATCACAATAGTAATCTTGAGTAATCTTAGGTGGCAAATCTTGGAGGACATCTTCTTTATTTCGCCTCAATAAAAATGGCAGTACCTATTTAAAACACATAACTTCGTCAAGTATAAACGAATGAGAAGTTGAGAAGTTTACACCAATAAGAGGGTAACTCCTCTTGTTATATATCTTACTTCATTTTTAAAAAATGATTTGTCGATTAATATAAAAAAAAGTTAACTCAAAATAATAAGTATGTAGATTTCATAACAGTAAAACTTGGTGTTACTATAAACCACACACAGTGTTACAACCAATTCTCCTCTCTTTTCTTTTCTATTAACAACCTGGATATTGCTTGACACAGTAGCAAAATTCTTGTAACTTTATAATTACAGATAAGTGACATTTTTGTACAAGAATTTTTATTGTAAATATAACAAGTACTTTCATTATTATATTTCAAATTCAAAAGTACTGCTACTATCCTCGGTCTACCTTATATATAAAAGCATAAAAAAAGATTACCTGTCTGTGCAATGCTTCCATAGCCAAAGCGCCTGCTTCTTGTTCTTTGGGCCCGGCTTTTGGTTCCCTACAAGCTAAAATAGGACGCGAATACTTTGCTGCAAACTGTTTTTCTGTGCCCAGAAAACCTGGCATTAGAAAATCAAATAAGGACCACAGTTCGAGAACGTCGTTTTGAACTGGAGTTCCCGATAGTATAAGTCTATGGTTGGCGTGTAGTCGTTTCGTTGCTTTAGCACTTTTTGTCTTTCCATTTTTAATAACATGACCTTCGTCAAGCACACAGTAATTCCATTGACGCATCTCAAAATAATCAATGTCCTTACGTACTATGTCATAACTCGCAACTACTAGTCTATGGTACGTGACTTTCGGTCTTAATTTGTCGCGATCAGGTGGCGTACCAGCAAACTGTAAAACTGACAAGTCCTTTGATTCGAAAAATTTTTCTGCTTCGTACACCCAATGACCTGTTAGGGTAGGCGGGCATACTACCAGACTTGGTGGAGCATGTGGATTACGGTGGTGATCTAATGCTAATATGCAAAGCGTTTGTAACGTTTTTCCAAGGCCCATGTCGTCGCACAGGACGCCATGGAGTCGATATCGGTTTAAGAAGTTTAACCAGTTGAGACCTTGCCGTTGATAAGAACGCAATTCGGCAGCAACTGGAATTGGTAGTTCTGTATCTGGAATACTGCGTGGATTTAACAATTGTTCCAAAAACCGTCGCTCCTGTGCTTTTTTCTCCCTGAAATATATTTAAGATGTTAAAACGGGCATTTTGAATTCTTATTTACTACTTCGTTGCCTATACATAATATTGGCACTTCCAGAACAAATGTATTTATTTCTCATTAATACCATGCATGACTTTCACGGATGAATAATACAAGTATGTAGAAATGCACAAAGCTTCATAGAGGAATACAATTTGAACACTTATTTTGATTATATTGATAAATTATGCGGTTGTGAAAATTCATTTGTTTCGGAAATTGCAATATTATATCTAGCGAACAAAGTACTAAAAATTAAAAAAACAAATCACATTAGTGTAGCATCAGATAATCACAATGAAACATTTTACTATACTATTCGATTTGTCTTTGCTATATAAAAAGTACTTTTCAAAAAATATAATTTCTAACTTACACTAAATCTGGAGGATCAGCTATCGCGCCAGGATCAAGAGGTAGGAGCTGAACAAGTGTAGCAAAGGTGGCACTGCAAGCTAGCCTTACAGCTTGATTTTGATCACTCATACGTCCAAGTAAGGGGACCATAAAAAGCACAGCATATGGTACAATATTGACACCTAAATTTTCAACGAGGCAAGTTAATGCTTCGGCTGCTCCTTGCCTTATCGAATCTACTTCACGCGGAGTTGTTACAGTCGTTGAATACAATTTCTCTCCTCCGGTAGCTTCTAACAGTGGTATTACTGTACGTGTAATGTGTACTATTACCTGTAAAATAAAGTATCATTATAAATTAATTAATTATTACGAGGTAACGTGCCCAAAGAAACAAAATTAAGTCATACGCTAATATGAGAAACTAAAAATTATACCTTTTCTGTATCTAATGTAGCTAACACAGACAAACACCTTGATGACATATGCCTAACAGCTTTATATGGATGAGCTAACAGTTTACACAAACATGGAAGGCATTCTAGAACTGGTGGAAGTAGAGCATTATTGAGACTTGGAGTCATAATTTCCAAAACTTGTAAACCAAATATCAATTGATTCACTTCTTCTTGAGAATTTTCATGTCCAGTGACCTTTTGTTCTTCTCTTATTACGTTTGGAAGAATTAATTCCCACAAATATGGTAGTCGAATTGGCAATTGATCACCGAAATGAGTTGCTGTAAAAATAAATCAGTACATTGCTAAAACAAAGAATTAATTACATCAAAGAATAGCTAATAATGATTATGTGATATCTAACCTATAGCAGTTAGTGCCAAAGTTGCTCCACGACGACGTGTCCTAGCTGCTTTAGCTTCAGGTTCTTCACAAGCAAGTAATTCTTCCAACGGAATTTCAGTATTAGGTGGCCGACCTGGTCCTCTTCCTCCGCCAAGTCCACTGTTAGCTCCTCGATTATAAGCTACTCTCTCCGCATGTTTCTGTCTATTACTTAAAGTAAGAATTCCGTCAAAAAGGTCCGTATCCGTTTCACAATTTACACGAGGCGTAAATTCACTATCCGAGCATAGGAATGTACATAAATTGGTCGATATCTGTGACAGAAAATTTTTATGATATTACTCAAAGGATACTGAGCTTAATATACTCGCGATCTGGAGTCAATTAATATTAATAGACTTTTTAATAACTGTTACAGGATCTACAGATAGTAAATATTATATAAAGGTTTATACATATACATGAAGGAACAAATATAATGACATTGTACAAAACATACAAGGTAGATAGCAAATGATAAAGATCTAAACAAAAATATTGAATAACTTAACTGAACAGGTTTTCACAATATTGTGAACAGATCACAATATTTTGCCATCAACACCAATGTATCTTAATTTACATACATACCTTTGCATTAGGAGATGGTTTCCTATCTAGACAAAGTTCAACCAGATACGATAAATGTTTTGCAGCCAGTTTCTGCAACTCTTCATTTTCTTCACGCTTAATAGCTTCCATTAATGGTTTCACTAATGGATTAAGAGGCAACGGAGAAGCAGGTAAGCAATGCAACATCGTAGCAGCACCAGCCAGTGCTGACATCGACATAACATTGTAAGCCAGCTGTTGCGCTGCAGTGTCATTAGCACCTATTTCCAAAGCTTTTCGTCTTTCTTTCAAGGTCTCTATCACCTTTGGCTTTAACTTAATCGTGCTGGGACTACCACCAATATTTCCACTTGGTCCTCCTGTAGTATTGCTCATGGCACAAAGGTCTGTAATTGGTTTCGCAACGAGATTCGCGATTTGATCAAGCGTCATTACTCCCGATGCATCTGTTTCGACAGGTACGGGTAATTTATAATGTTTGAGAGTCGCAATGTAATCACGGCTGTCGTGTAATAATCGCGTGAAAGATGCGGCAATCTCATCATAGTACACACATTCGTTTAAACACCCCAAGAGCTTGTCCCTTTAAAACAAATACATCATTAGATAAACATAACATTATACTAAGCAACAGTCAGATTAAAAAATACATCTCTATACCTGAGTATATCTGGTATCGCAGGTGGTTTATTATTTACAGTCGCCCAATGGGACATTGTTAAGCCAGCAATGGTGCGTTGCAACGCTGAGCGCGAATTGAGGTGTGCCAGTAATACTTTAGCGTAACAAAGTGCTGGACTAGGTATATCTGGTGTGTAAGTGACACCTGGGGCTGGTTGCACTACGTAATGCGACAACAATCCTAACATACGTGCAGCTCTACAACGAGCCGGTATTACGTTTGACTTTCTTATAGTCTGAGCCACGGTTTCGATCCCGCCGATGTAAACTTTTAATTCGGACATCGACTTCACGTTTCCAGGTGCGGCATTGTTTCCTCCATTAGCATCCGTTTGCCCATCGCAAGTGCCAACAAACTGATTGCTCTTAGTTCCTTTATTAGGCGAACTTATTGTCATCAATAAGTTTGGATTGAACGGCACGTGTTCTGGTTGCATAGCAAGACAGAGCCATGTGCTGACAAGAGGACATGCTGCGTGCAGTAACAATTCGAGATCGCTTTGAACGACTAGATTCTCCCAAACACGTTCAGTTACATCTTGTATGGCAGTTATATGCTCGATCAGTACACGTTGAAAGACATGGCGGAGAGCATCTTGCAACACGAGTCCCCCTCCTTCGCCCCATAACTCCTTCTTGTCCATATTTTCAGCCCCGTCATCCCCGGTCAATGTTTCCAAAGTTTGCAAAGTGGCTTTGCGTACGCTTGAACTAGAATGACTGAGGAATGGCCATAATCGTGGTAGAACCTACAATTATTTTATTTCATATTAAGAAAAATAGCAAATACATAAAGTTGTCCCAAAAATTCTTTTAGTTTTATTGTTAGGTATAGAATATATATCAGAGTCTCAATCAAATTCTAACAATTTATTTAAAATGACTGAATATCTAAGACACAACCTAATATGTTTTATTTAAGAAATTAACTGGATCCTGTTATACCTGTGATAATGGTTGAGGTGTAAGGTAAGCACGTGCGGTAGGTAGTGAAAGTATAGCAGCTAACAGTCCCATAAAACTATTACATGCCGCAGCTAGATCATCTTGTTCGCGCAGAAGTTCCCATAAACGAGTTACAATAGCTTCTAATTTTGATGGTTCTAACAATCGAGGGAGAACAGATGCAACTGGTATAAGTGCACTGGCTGCAGCAGCTCCTACATCATCAACTGGATCAGAAAGACCTTTCATGGTGGCTGCAAAAATCCTTGGTAATATGTCATCCAACAGATCATCTCGTACAGCAAGCAAATATTTCAATGCAAGCAATGCACCGTGCCTTGCTTCCCATTCATCATGCTCCAGAAGTTTCAACATAACTGATATGATTCCTATGATATCCTTATTTTTATTTTCACTGTCTTTTTGATTTTGCACTAACAACAAGAGGGAACCTAGTGCTTGAGCACATGTTTCGCGTACAGGAGCAACGACTTGATCAGAGACAAAATCACCAAAGCGATCTAATCCTAAGACACATAATAGTCGTAGCGCTGCATCTATAATCCACTGATGATGACATTCTTCCATTTCTTCCATAGTCTGTGCTCTTGATTTACCTGCACCTAGATTACGAGACAATAAAAATTTTTATTTGTCCTGTGTCATTAGTAAGTATAGTTTTATATACCTTTTCCATGAAGTTTTACAAGTTCTCGTAAAGCAGTCGCAGCTCCATGCCTCACTTCCCACTTTTGACTAAACAAGTCTTGACGAAGACTCTCAGCGAATGGTTCTAGAGGCCAGTCTATAGCAGAATCTGGCCAACAACCAGTACTGTCTGGTACTCCGTTATTTGATTCAGTCTGTACATTACTGTTAGGTACGTTTGTTTCTGCTGAGATTAGTTCTTCTAATTTTACTTTTTTACACATTGACTCTCCTGTACTGTTAGTAGGGGATTGAGCGTTTGAATTATTGTGGTGATCTTCATTGCTGCGATGATCGTCTGGTTCTCGAGAACGTTGCTTTGAAACTGATTGCCGTGCCTATATTTGAAAAATATTAATAGTATCCAATATGTAATAATATCCAAGTAAAAACATCATACTTTACCTTACGTCTAGCTCTGTTTATTTCTCTCCTACTGAGTCCTCCACTAGGTTGTTTTAAAGTTTCACCTACAGACACCTTAATTTGTGCACTTGAAGTAGGTGGTAACACTACTGGTGAAAGATCCTCAGCAGTAAATAATTCTGATGCATCGACACCCATCAACTGAGGATGCAAACCCAATTTAGCAGCGATTAGCTTCTCCTCTTGGTTAGGAATCGATACTTGGTCTCCATCAATGCTAACTAAATCGTATTCACTGCCTTCTGATCCAGTGAGGTGCGAACTACGTGCCAAGACCTTTTCCATATCAAAATCTTCCAATTTTAATCTATTATTTGGTATATATTTTTTCGTTTCTCCATCTTTAATTAACAGGAGTTGCAAATCAATAGTTAATATGCAATGAAATTTGTATCAATGCATTATATGTGACACACACATAAATATGTTTTTCATATATTGCTGAGTAAAATGCAAACACATACCTTTACTCTATGTGTATAAAACAGTATCTTATATATATATATATATAAAATAATCTTGAATTGTTCAATATAATTAATAGAATTGTTTCATAACAAGATATTAAATATGATCACATGACAATTAACAGTATGTATTCATAATTACAGTAATTTTAAAAATTTGTTTTCAACACACTAAAATTTTCAAAAATAGCTCACATATAATGTGCTGAGAGATAGGAATACTCACTTACCTTCTTGATCTTTTTTTATTGGTTGTGGATCCCAAGCAGGAACTTGTGCTAATATAGCTTGTACAGCTTGTGCAGCAGAAACTCTTGTATCCCATTGTGGAGATTTTAACAGAGTAGAAACTCTAGCTAGTAAATGATGTAAATCATGGGGATGTAATTTCTGTGCTTCTCCTAGTTGTTGTGCTGCAGCCTTTTTCGTTACTGCATTTGTTCCTGTTTCCAATAATATGAACAATCGATCCAACCTACAGAAATATGAATTAATTACTAAGCAAAATATATTATAGAGGTTTTATTATTGTTATACAATGTTTATCAGACAATTATGTTGATAAGAAATATATAGCATTTTTCTTATCTTTTTTGGTGTTTCCTCAAAATATGTAAACATTTTAATTTTATATATAGTTCATTGAAAAAATTAATATTATTACTATTTTGAATTAATTACATACACAGATTATTTAATATTTTACCTTGATGTCATGTTTGCAAGTGGCGCTAATTAGAAACAAATGCGAGTACCTACAATCAAAATAAACTTTTTTTATTGTACCTTTTCACAAGTATCATAAAATTCATTATTTACAAAAATAATTGATTCATCGTAGCATTTATAAACAATTGACAATATTGCTGTATTAGAACTGTATTCTTAAAATAATTGTACACTTATTATGAAATATACTTTCCTCTAACTATAAAAGTCTTATAGGAAGTGCATTAAAAGCTCCAGCTGTGCAAAATAAAATGGAGTACAAGAAATGTTCAAATCGTCCACATGTTATTTATCGTTTGTTTTGCAGTCGTCAACGATAACTCAAGCGACAAAATTTAATTGTCAAGACTATAAACTAAAGTCTGCTGCTTTCAAATTGATGAGGTGGAGATAATAGATGACATCTGCAAGAACGCGTTCATCGAATGCTCTAGGAATTCATGTATACGACTATTACGAACTTCTTGCATGGTATAACGAATTTGAATTAGAAAAATATAAACAGAGTGTAACAATTAGCCAAACGTTACGAAGAAACGGATATGTAGATATATAAATAAATAGTGATGTACAAACGCATCTAAACGTACCTGATTTTAGAAAATAATGTGTCTATCCGTTATTCTTCAGCTCACCCGCATAGCCGTTTCCCACTGTATTAATTCCTCAAAAATCACATTACGCTGTATATTTTGAGAAAGTCGACTGATAGACGGACTATTTGTCAAATTTTTCGGAGAGAAACGCATGTTACAAGCATCAAATTTATACTGACAGCCATATTGTAGGGGAACCTGACTTTTGTCCCCCAATTTTGCTCTCATTGGTAGACCAAACGCGTTTTACCGATCGATCAACCAATCAACGATTTCTCCGTGCACTAATCGCATCGAATTGCGCATACAGTCTCCCCTTCTTAACGTCGCGCGACCCCCAAAACACAGCAGGACATTTGAAAGCGAAAGAAGTTATTTATCTTTACTGTGATTGACTGACAATTCCATGATTGGTTGCACTATGGCATAGTCCCTATTTGTTATAGTGAAACTATTCACATAGTGTTATAGTGTTTTAAATGTAAAAATGATTTTAATTTGAACACCACTATAAAAATATTGTCGTGACTTGTGAGTGCCGTCTACGGGAATATTTTCTAAGTCAATGGACACGCTTAGAGCATATCAATTCAGCATATCGAGCGATGTCGGGGGTAAAGCGCTCAGAGATTTGGGGGTAGGTAGGGAAACTGCTTTTCTCTGATTGGTTGATGCCTCACAGCTAAGCAGTGCGCCCTCACAGTTTTAAACAAAGGAAGTGGCGAATGATCAAGAGAGCACAACATCAGCACAACACAAGCGAAACAAGTTACACTGACGACCAATGTAGCTTGCGATCTCACTTTATTTGCGCATTTGTTTTGCCTGGTACTTCATCTGAAATACTCGGCGCGATATAGTTTTCGCCTCGTAAGATTCTCGACCACATAGTTCAGCGTATTTGCGAACATCTTGAAATGACAATCATTTCTACAGTTATTAAACCCGTAAGCTACATTTTAGGTAATAATTTCTAGTGTGCAAGAACGATTCGTGTAAAATGTGGGTGGTAGTGTGGGCCTCGGGGAGCTCCATCGTCACAAACGCTCAGAAACAGAGATTGGGCCATGAAGTGCGCAGTAACGATCTGCGCAAGATGGGAGTGGTGGTGGGATTTCCGCCCGGGAAACGGGCTGCGAAATTCGACTCTACGTCTTTTCTGATCGAACTACAGAAGCAATAACAATCTCCTGTGTTCTACAGGCTGAATTCATTCAAAAGGAAAGTTCGTCCTTATTCACTACAGAAATGAGAATGCCGATGCCCGAATAAAATACAATTTTCTATATAATCCAGACCCACAGGCATTTCCTTATATTCCAAGTTTCGTTATAGGTTGCAGATCAAAATTTCAACTAAACGTTTTGGAATTGTCTTATACAGTTTTTCATTTTTTTTTTGTCGGCAAATTCTTCCAATTTTCAGTAATTATTAAGTCTAATTCTCTAAAACACTATAAATTTGAAAATACTTTTGAAGGTAATTACTAAATTAAATATGTAGTCTCTCTAAGAGAATATAAATGCACGTTTCAGCTTTGTTTTTCAAATTTTTAAAAGTAAAAATCGTACAAAATTGCGAAATTACTCGTTGCTTTCAAAACTTTTTCTTGTAGAGTAAAACATTGGTTACTAGCCGTCACAGTTGACAGGTACTGGGATAACTGAATTAAGAAAATTTTGTAGATTTGTAAAGTAGAAACTATTATCTAAAATACAGTTTACGGGCTTTTGAAAATTTTAATGTTTGTAGAAATGATCGTCGTTTCAAAACGTTCACAAATACGCTGGATCGAGAATCCTACGAGGCGAAAAGTATATCGCGCCTAATGTTTCAGATAGAGTTCCAGACAAACAGATGCGCGAATAGAGTGAGATCGCAAGCATAGTAAAGTGTGACGACCTACGTTCTCGCCCGTGTGGACACTCGCTCATAGAGCCCGCTGATTTCGTGCCGTCTTTCTCGATCATCTCCCGTTCTCTTTCTAAAGCAATTGCGCGGGAGCTAGATGCGTATTAAAATGGTAGGATAAAAACACTCGGAAAGAGGAAGTAGAAATCGTTTGTATGAGGAATGGATGCACTGGAGATACTACTATTGTATAGGTGGAGACAGCATCTGCTTCTGCTGAATATACATATAACCAATTTTTAGAAAGAGATAGACTTTAATTCACTACAATCTGTCTCTTTTTACTGGATACAGATTGGCTGATGTCCCCCCCCCCCCTCTCATTTTTCTCAGTGCGAACTTCTTAAAGTTCGGGTCCGAGACCACTGGTCGTTAACCCTTACTTAGAGGTTACACGGTTATAGTACTCGACTCGCTCAGCTTCAAGTGTCCCGCAGAAGGTATTACAATTTACAAGATAACAGGTTACAGAGCGAAGCATTTTTTACTACCTTTGGATCTCTTTTTACAATTTTGATATGTGCGTGCGTTTCTTGGATTCATAGAAAAATTATATATAGGTGCAGGGTTCTAAGTCTTCTTTGTTCGAACCTGGATTAGAGCGAGATAGGTTGTACCGAATTAGAATCTTTCTAAAAACTGGTTACATACGTACTATTCAACAGTAGCAGATGCTGCTTCCAGATATATGCTCTAAGTCAGAGCTAGAAATTAACTGCACATGACAGAGACAGAGCATTGTCAAAGACTGCTCTGCTAAAATGTACTGCAGAGTGGCATCATCCAATCCCATTTGTGAGATCTCTCCTTCACCATTCTGCAGCACATATCAGAGCAGTCTCCGAAAATGCCCTGTCTCTGTCATGTGCAAATTAATTCTGAACCCTGTTGTAAGTAGTCACGTTATTTAGGGATCCCTAGTGAACACCACTACTCTATTCGAATGAAAACGCCTTGCTGATTTATTGTACATAGATATATTGTTCTAGGGATTTCCTTTACAAGAAGTTACCCACTGTGTTCGCGATAACCTACGAATGGTAGTGCAGTACAGTGCAGTACATATTAGTTCGTCGATACGTTCTGACGGAGGTTTAATTAATTGTTCACATTTCTATTCTCTTTTTGACTGAGAATCTTCATCATGTCAAAAATATCATTCGGGGAATATCCTGTGGAATATAATAGACAAATACACGGCCCGTATGATCCTGCTCGGTACTACGGAAAACGTGAGTTTTATCATCTCACGACGAGTCCGTTGCCTTCTTGATTGAATGTTAATTTAAAAAAAAAATATATATATATATATACATATTTTCAGCCGATACACCATTTGGTGAAGTGAAACTTGGCGAGTTACCTAAATGGATTCAACGACGTAACATGGGAATACGCCCCTTGATGGGTTTATTTTCACGAGGTATTTATTCTCTTTATCAAAATGGCTATATTATACTTTAATAATTGCGTAACGATTTCGTTCAGGAAGCTATATTCCACACGCTTCTTCTCTATTTCATTTGCATCATACACCCCATTCTAATAATATCAGAAAATAGAGTTTGGATATTTAACTTTCATAATCGAATATTATAAATCTATTTATTAAATGTACAGAATGATGAATACTATTTTGAATTAATTAACTCTTTGAATTCATGGATACTTGTAAAAAAAGGTTTGTTATAAAATTATTCATAACAAAAAAAAATTACTATTTTTACATCAGTTCAGCCTATTTAACCTTTGTAAGATTCTTTTGCGAATATTTATTTATTTCCCATTTTAGGATAATATGAGACAAAATTACAGAAGGATTTTTCATGTAAATATTTATAAGATGCATATGAGAATTAAAAGAAGAAGAATAGTTATTATACATTGTCATTGTGTGTGTATAAAGTTATAGTTATATATTACTTATAATATAATTTAGCTTTAATGTTATTATCTCATGTTGCAGCTTTTTGGCGCTGGCAACACAAATATGTACAGCCTCTAAAGACAGGTGTAGCCCCAATTTTTCAAGTTGCTATTGGAGCATCAATAATGTTCTATATATTCAATTATCCGCGTTTGAGTAAGTTTATTATTTTAAAAGTACCTTTGTGAATCAATATATTATGAAAAACTGTACAATAACAAAGCATGTTTCATTTTACAGAGGCTCACAAGTCATACAAGTACCACTAAAACATGGATGGAGATATTTTCAGTGAAAATAGAATACAATGTTACATTAGTTAATAAGACAAATGTGAACAGTTTAAAACACTTATAATATAGCGAAATAAATATTCCTTAAACATTTAACTATAAATACAGGAATGTTTAGCAGAATCTCCAGTATGCATAATATGCAAACACCGACAAGAATAACACGCTGTGGTATCATGTGATGGCAAAATTTGGAAGCTTTAAATAACGCGAAAACCGAGAGCTCAAAATTAATATTTCAAGGGCTAAATATTAGACTTCCAAATATTTCTAATGACTCTCTACATTGATTATGCATTCGGTAGTCTATATATAATTATGCTTAAGGATGGTTTTTCCAGAAAGAGATTCTTCATGGATATTGTAGCAACCTTAACAAGTGATAAAATTGATGCAAATGTGACGATAAGTACATGTAGACAAGTCAGCATCTAAGACAATGTTTGCTATGGAACCTAAAGATTTTAATTAGCAAATTCGAAATGGAAACACTTTCACTCCGGTTAAAATTGAATTCGAATAAAAAATACAATATAAAAACACTATGTAGTTGTCTAGTGATAAAATGTTGGTACTTCGTAATTGTTATATAATATCATAATGGAAACATTAGAAGTTGATTAAAGAAATTTTCCTGATAAAAAAAAAGCCTAAACACAGCATAATTTCTTTATCTCTTTCTATTTAAGTACACTATTTTTTTTTATTTTATATACGTGTAAGTATAAGGTACTATACTTTATGCTTCCCATCAATTCTTGAACTTGTAGTAGAGAGAATAGTATAGATAGAAAGGAAATTTTCTTCCTGTTATGAATACAAAATTCTGACTTAATTAGTAAATCAGTACAAGAGATATACGTATGTGATGCAAAGCTGACAAAAAGGCGCGTCTAATCTGAGGCAAATGTACTGGAACGTACCAGCATAGTTTATGGTTGTCTTCTTGTCAGCTATGAATTCTGAATGTGTCAACATTATGCACTAGTGCATACATACCCTTACACCTCGATTTTGGCATACACATGTATGCACTATGTATGTACATTGTAATGTATTGTCTACTTTTAGAAAGAACTTCGAAGGGAAGATTCTAATGAGTAAAATCTAATACTCGTCCATAATCTGATTCGTTGACGTTATCATTTTAACCAATAACAAAATATATGTGTGCCTGACACTCACATAGCCAGCTATCTTTCCAGGTATTTAGATTTAAATATTTCCAAGAGATAATTTTGTAATAGCAGCGTATAAAGATTATTTAAGTTTTAAACACGCAAATGAACTGCAACAATGTATTTTATAGCATATCGCTTAAGGTTTGAAAATAATTATACAATTGTATGTTAAATATTAAAAAAATTTAAACAATGTAAAGTGCTCCATAAAAATAATATTTTAATGTCTTCTCATAGAGATTTTATAATTTTTGATATTATTTAATTCATATACAATGTATGTACATATGTACATACATTCTATAGTGGCATTCGGTAATTGGTGGGAGAAAATTAGGCGATAGGTTTACAGAATATGAATATAAAATTTGTAATTTCAGCTTTGTTCTCAAGTTATTAACATTTGAAAATTTTCTTGATCCACCAAGAGCAGAAGAAGCATGAGCAGTGAGGTGCTACGTGAAAAACGAAAATGCAAGAATGGTTCACAAACTGTTATTGGTCGATTATAATTTTAACAACTTCAGAGCAATTATCGCACGTCCACTGACATAAGAACCGCACTTTATGTTTTAGGCGCCCTCAAACGTGTCGTACAATCCACCAGAAAAAGTTTAATGGCCACCTATGTAATTGCAAATGGCTGACATCTCAATAGAGGATGGGCCTTGATTTCCTATGCGTGAAACTAACGGTTCAAAAAATGTCGTGTAGTGCCGACGCGTGTTATTTTTAACAGTGATTTTCATTGGGATTATCGTTATCGTTTTACGCGTCGAAACGACAATTGGGTAAGTGTGACAAAGTACGCGGGAAAAAATGACTCGTGGCCGGAGACACGCGCCCTCAGTTAAACTGATCCGGTAACCGTTTCCGAGCACGTAAGCGTGTGGAATTTCGAATAAATCGATAGCATTGTGATTCTACGTGATCGAGATCCGAGAATTTCGTCTATTATGTGAAGTGTATCGTGATATCGTCAGTAAAAATACTTTGTACGGGCTGTAACGTGTATAATCACGAGGAGAAGGTAAACAATGAATCCGTTCGCGCGGTATCTATTACACGCCGCGTGCTTTTGAGTCATTCCGTTACAGATTTCATATATAATATTGTATCGGACTTAAAGTAATTCAACATTTTTGTTTACGTATTAAATGATTTCTGAAACGAAATATCGATTCTTTATTAACGTACCTTTGTACATGAATTAGTTATGGAATTAACCCTTTCACTTCAACATCTGCGGCATTCATCATGCATGCACTTATCTTAAGTGTCAAGAAGAAAAATGTACGATTATTGTACCACAAATATTGTTTCTTTCATCACTTTTGGCAAAGTGACTTGTGAAGTAATTGGGTTATTTTATCGTTCACTGTTAAATATCATTCCATTTATTTACTTGCAATATTTAATTTCATGTGTCCTATTTAAAATAAATAAAGTTTCCAATAATACGTAAAATTAAAATTGAATTAATAACGAATTTGAAAATTTTAATTCTGTTATTTTTACATCGATTTGAAAATAAATATATAAATAATGAAAAAAAAATTAAAATATTGTATGTATTGTAAACATCATTAAACACTGGGTTTTTAATTATTCGTAGGAATAACAGACAAGGACCATTTGATACAAAAGAAAAAGATCACAATGCCTGCCGTGAGCATTTGTGATCCGGTAGCGGCCACACTCCGCCGTACTTTGGATACGAGTCAATCCAAAACGTCAGATGACTTATCAGCAAATTTAGTTGGTAGTGCATCTAGGATCCTACAATCAGAAATTCAATATACGGAAGCGGATGATTATCAAACAACAATTCTGGATCAACTCAAAGCCAAATACATTGTGTTAAGCTTACCAAACTCAGAAAATTCTGAGGATAAAGTGAAAGACAATGGGAATTATGGAAAGAAAAATGAAAAATTACCTAAGGGGCCGAGTTTACCAGAACCAACTACTACTCTTTATTCCTCAAAGAAAGTCACTTTAGGATGGAAAGGCACATTTCCTGTTGGAGCGGGCATGTACAATGTTGGAAATACTTGTTATTTGAATAGTACACTTCAAGCATTGTTTCATGTACCAGCACTTGTTAACTGGTTATTATCAGATACACACCACACATCAAAATGTGAACAAAATGGTGAGTTTCAGTAGATTGTATTTCTTTAATAACACAAACTGTGTTGAATAAAAGTTTATATTATAATTTTATGCTTTTGTATCATATCTTGATAGTAGGTTAATTTTAGATGCAGGTGGAGAGTGCCTTACCTGTGCAGTGGCAAAGACTTTACAATTTAGTCACCAAAAGTCTGGATGTGCTATTAAGCCATTTTATATATACAATAAATTGAAGCGTGAGTATTTGTGTATTGAAGGGTATTCATACATTTTTCGATTATCTGTATAAATACTTTTTCAATTTGTTTACTAGTCATTTGCCGAACCATGGTGCCAGGGCAACAAGAAGATGCTCATGAATTTTTACGTTATTTATTAGAAGGCATGGAGAAAGCTTATTTAGCAAGGCACAAAGCTAGTAAATTAGACAGTTACTCTAAAGAGACAACTCCTATTAATCAAATTTTTGGTGGTTATATTCGTACCGAAGTAAAGTGCCTACAGTGTCGGCATGTTTCTACTACATTTCAGCATTTTCAGGTATATATAAAATCGGATACTTAATCCAATTCGCAATTTTTTACTTGAAAACGAATTTTTTGAAAGTAAATCTTTGGTTGATAAATCTTTTTGTGTAACAGAAATGAAGCATATTTCTAAATCTTTATAGGACTTACTGGTAGATATACGGAAAGCAAGTACTCTAGATGAAGCATTAAGTAGTTATTTTAGTCGAGAACAGTTAGATAACAATGATTACAAATGCGAAGCTTGTAAAAGAAGAGTTCCTGCCACAAAACAGTTCAGTCTAGAACGACCTCCCAAAGTACTTTGTGTACAGTTGAAGAGGTTTAGCGTTCTAGGTGGAAAAATATCGAAACATATAGGTTTTAAACAGGCTATTGATATGGGTCCTTATCTCTGGAGGGAACCAGGGGAGCCTGTACAACCGCTAACATACAAACTGACATCAATAGTGACGCATATGGGTCCATCAGTGAATTGTGGCCATTATACTGCGGTTGCCAAGGTTTCAACGGGTCATTACTATTCTTTTGATGATTCTTGTGTAAGTCTTGCTACTCTCAACATTTGTTGAACAGTATAATCTATCAACTTTCATAGAATAGATCTTAAATATTCTTGAAATGTGTTTTTTGCAGGTTCGTCCAATTAGTTTGAGTAATGTATTGAGTACAAACGCATATATAATGATTTTTGAGATGGAGCAATTGACACAATCTCAGGTACAGAATCAACAGACTGTTAAATTAAATGGTACATTGACTGTAAACAATACATTGTCCTCACCTGGAAGTCCTATGAATAGAACGATAAGTCCTAAAGCGTCAACGTCTGGATTGATAACATTAAATGGATCGATGAATGGCACGTTGACTATTAAAGAATGTAGCGAAAATTCGGAGACTAGTTCTCAAGTGTCAGTGAATAAAAATTCAGATGCACAGTTTTCCACACAAAAAGTAACCAATTTTATTGGACCACAGTTGCCACAGAAATTGCAAGACAAAACGCAACCGAGGTTAATTATGCATATTAAAAATGGAAAAATTTTGAATGAAAATAGTTTGGTACCTTATGACGGATCTAGCGAAGAAGAAGATGCTAATTTCACTGGATCAGTAAAAAATAAAATAAACTCAAATATCACGTCGAAACCAAACACTTCTCCTACTGGCACTAACGGTGTCCAAAAAGGATGTTCAGTAAAAAGTAATTCACCTAAAACGGTTCTTGTCACAAAGGACGTACAAAAATCAGTATCGAAGACTAATGGTAGTAATGTTTTGCAAAATCAAAGTAATGTAGTACAATGTACAAAAACGCAAAATGGTTCTAGCTGTAGTACCGTTACCAGTCTGAAAAAGTATCAGAATGGTCAATTGGAAGCAAATGGTAAAATGGAATGCAACAAAGTGGAAAATAGTAAGAGTAAGTGGCATCAGTCTGTTAGAATAAAGACTGGACAAGATGAGAAAGTTATCACAAAAGCAGCAACTAGTATGAAAGGATGGCAAGTTTCGAAGGACACATTTTCTCCTGCGTCGACTGCGGCACCTAATGGGTGGTCCGTTACGGATAAGTAAGTAATCTTTCAAATTTCTAATTAATTAATACTAAAACTACCAAATTGATCAAAATTACTTGATTATGACTATTTGAATTGTGTTTTCAATTATTTACTACGGCATATTCATGTAACTTGTAATTCTTGATTATACAGGGAAGACATTAATAAGATTAGTCATAATAACACTACCCCCAGTGCTGCGGCCTTAAGGGATTTCAATGGAACGAACCATTCGGAGACAGTTTCACATTTATTGAAGATGTCTCACCGCGGTTATGGTAGTTCTACGGGTCAGTACAGTAAACGAATATTATTGCCGAATTTTCCACTGAAACCAGCACCTGTTCCTTCAAAATCCTCATCAATTCGTTGTGTTTCCGCGTGTCGCCAATCAAACATTCCTTTACTAAATAGTAAGATAAATGTCTAAGACTCAAAAATTTGTAACAATTCAAATATTTCAAAAGCCCACTTTACAGGAATGTGTAATTTTTGAATCGTACTTGATTGAATTATGTAAAAAGTGGCGATATTTAAATCCATAATGAAAGTACGAACATCAAGTCCAATTTGTCAAATATTAGAAACCTTCAATTTTATAGCAGTACACGACCGGCGACAGTAATAACAGTTAGAGGATTCGCTTGCAGAGGCCAAGGATTAAGTAATAAACTTTCCCTGGCCGTTGCATGTCGAAAATGATTTTATTGACTTTTCTTAACAACCCCATGGGTACAGCAGATGTTGCTGAAGAATAATTACCGGCCGCCTACCACTACAGGGCTACCTGGCTGCGCGTTTAGCGCGGTCGAGGAAATCCCTTAGGAGTAACCGTCACCTTGGACAAAGGTAGCCACGCAGCCAGGTAGCCCTGTAGCGGTAGGCGGCCGGTAATTATTCTTCAAAAGTCAATAAAATCATTTTCGACTTGCAACGGCCAGGGAAAGTTTATTACTTAGTCCTTGGCCTCTGCAAGCGAATCCTCTAACTGTTATTACTGTCGCCGGTCGTGTACTGCTATAAAATTGAAGGTTTCTAATATTTGACAAANTTAAAAACCATTGATTTAAGGAATATTTCAATTTGAATATCGTGCAGTGCTCTCCGTTGTATGGTAATGTTTTGAAGTCATAAGTGGCATATTATTTCCAAAATGGGGAGTATTGCAAGCTGCATCAACCAGTGCGTCAACCACTTTCAAATGCCTTTTTTATTTCTATCTACAAAAATATATTTAATGCTAAATCATGTGTCACGTTAAACTGTTCAACTTTTGTCTCAAACATTTTTTAGTATTGTCAACAGTTTTGAAGATATTCGAGTGGATGTATTCAAATGAGTCATCTTGTATGTATATGCGTTTAAAGATATTAACAGCATAATATATGTTTATATGTTTACAGTGTTAAATTGGAACGGAAACAGAACGCATTTAGATCGAGAGGTAGACAACGACAGAAGAGAAGAACGTAAACGTCATTTTAATACAAACGACGACGATATAGATCGTGGTCGAGTGAAGAAGGTGAAGGATCACCGAACATATGAAGACAGAAGTAACACGGGCTACAATCCTTTCCAAGAGTACCAAAACGGTAAAACGTGGGACCGGTCTCTTAATAATTATCATCGGAGACAGTATTACAACACTTCTACCCATAGTCGACAACGGCATGGTAGACAATACAGATCAGCACATTACAGATACCATAGTCATTCTCGAGCACACTGGCAACGGGAATAAAATAAAAAGAGAATTATTATTGAAAGAAGAAAAGAAATTTAAAAAGCAATCCGATATCAAAAGACTTTGTTAGTTCTTCTATTGCTAAAGCAAATTGTAATTTTTTCAACATGTTGATGCGAAAACGTGGAAGCGACTAATGCTAATTTAGACAATTGACGTTGGAACTAAATATTCAATATTTAATTGTAAAGGGTTCAAACTGCATGATAACAGTCTTGTACGTTCCTGAGAGTGACTTAAAAGTACTCTGACGTCGTTTTGTAGTTTACTCTGTGTCCATGGACATTGTACTACACAGAACATGGGGGATGAGTATCAGTAACTCTGCCAATCTTGTGTTCAAAATGAATAAAATTAACTTTTGAACGTTATTGATTTAGTCTTGTACGCGTAATATTGGAGGAATGGATGAATGATTGCTATGGTGTTTAAACGTTACATTAGTAATTTTTAAATATACCGATAAGAGTTTTACACCGTTATGTTATTTAATTTGAATTACGTAATTGAATTTTATTTGTAAAAATTATTTAAATCCTACATGACATAATAATTACAAGAATTTAAAAAGCTATTTTATACTAATCTTATGTTATTTATAATGCCGAATATAATATTAAAGTAAAATTACAAGCACGGTATGTACATGTGGCACTTCATTTTGCATACATTTAATTCTCGATTGAATTATTTTTTATTATTAAAAGAATTAAAATTCAATTTCGTTTNTTGGACAAAGGTAGCCACGCAGCCAGGTAGCCCTGTAGCGGTAGGCGGCCGGTAATTATTCTTCAAAAGTCAATAAAATCATTTTCGACTTGCAACGGCCAGGGAAAGTTTATTACTTAGTCCTTGGCCTCTGCAAGCGAATCCTCTTACTGTTATTACTGTCGCCGGCCGTGTACCGCTATAAAATTGAAGGTTTCTCTAGGCGGGCGCGTAGTTGCAGCACAATGGCTGCTACAAACGGAATTATATATTTTTGAGTGTACTGATGACAGTTGTGATTATCTATAAAAACTATTGAATCACTTGTGTTTAAAAACCATTGATTTAAGGAATATTTCAATTTGAATATCGTGCAGTGCTCTCCGTTGTATGGTAATGTTTTGAAGTCATAAGTGGCATATTATTTCCAAAATGGGGAGTATTGCAAGCTGCATCAACCAGTGCGTCAACCACTTTCAAATGCCTTTTTTATTTCTATCTACAAAAATATATTTAATGCTAAATCATGTGTCACGTTAAACTGTTCAACTTTTGTCTCAAACATTTTTTAGTATTGTCAACAGTTTTGAAGATATTCGAGTGGATGTATTCAAATGAGTCATCTTGTATGTATATGCGTTTAAAGATATTAACAGCATAATATATGTTTATATGTTTACAGTGTTAAATTGGAACGGAAACAGAACGCATTTAGATCGAGAGGTAGACAACGACAGAAGAGAAGAACGTAAACGTCATTTTAATACAAACGACGACGATATAGATCGTGGTCGAGTGAAGAAGGTGAAGGATCACCGAACATATGAAGACAGAAGTAACACGGGCTACAATCCTTTCCAAGAGTACCAAAACGGTAAAACGTGGGACCGGTCTCTTAATAATTATCATCGGAGACAGTATTACAACACTTCTACCCATAGTCGACAACGGCATGGTAGACAATACAGATCAGCACATTACAGATACCATAGTCATTCTCGAGCACACTGGCAACGGGAATAAAATAAAAAGAGAATTATTATTGAAAGAAGAAAAGAAATTTAAAAAGCAATCCGATATCAAAAGACTTTGTTAGTTCTTCTATTGCTAAAGCAAATTGTAATTTTTTCAACATGTTGATGCGAAAACGTGGAAGCGACTAATGCTAATTTAGACAATTGACGTTGGAACTAAATATTCAATATTTAATTGTAAAGGGTTCAAACTGCATGATAACAGTCTTGTACGTTCCTGAGAGTGACTTAAAAGTACTCTGACGTCGTTTTGTAGTTTACTCTGTGTCCATGGACATTGTACTACACAGAACATGGGGGATGAGTATCAGTAACTCTGCCAATCTTGTGTTCAAAATGAATAAAATTAACTTTTGAACGTTATTGATTTAGTCTTGTACGCGTAATATTGGAGGAATGGATGAATGATTGCTATGGTGTTTAAACGTTACATTAGTAATTTTTAAATATACCGATAAGAGTTTTACACCGTTATGTTATTTAATTTGAATTACGTAATTGAATTTTATTTGTAAAAATTATTTAAATCCTACATGACATAATAATTACAAGAATTTAAAAAGCTATTTTATACTAATCTTATGTTATTTATAATGCCGAATATAATATTAAAGTAAAATTACAAGCACGGTATGTACATGTGGCACTTCATTTTGCATACATTTAATTCTCGATTGAATTATTTTTTATTATTAAAAGAATTAAAATTCAATTTCGTTTTGGAGAATACCCTGCGTTCTTTACAACATAATAATCCGTCCTTTGTTTTGGTCGACAAAGATACTCCTCCCTCTTCGAACGATAGCCAAAATAATATAATCGAGCAGCAATTCTTGATCGAGCGTTATATTAAAGAGAATGAAATTCTTAGACAGTGAATATTGCAGGAAAACGAGTTCACTATTATAACCGTTAAGCGAACGATTTCTCATTAAAAGTATAATTAATGTGCATACTTGTGAATATACGTGGATTTTGAATTTTTTTATATATTAATATACATATAATTCCAGAGTGATTGAGGAAGCTGTGTATAATCGAAAGGAGAATGTTTAATTATAAAGATAAGTAATGATATTGAGTTATTGAAATACTACTTAAAAACGAAAAATGTAAATTATATAGTTAAGTGTAGAGTTTTAACAATGTGGACTTCTTATAGTGCATTAAAAATTGCAAAAGCCATAGCTAAATTGTTAAGCGAAGTCTAAAGAGCCCGGCGATTTTGTCAGCTCGTTACATTGTAATACCTCGTTATATCATTCTACAAACTAAATATGAGCCAAAAGAAGATAACATATATTGAGATCTGGCAATTATTAACGGATCTTACTGATTCTCACTGATAATTTCGTTTTGAATGGTACATGTATTTGACGTATGCTCGCTGGACCTATATCTTAAGTATTAGACGCAATTTAATAATCGTATTAGCTTGGTAACGCGGTAAATATAATATAATTATCATGATGTAACCTTGTAGTAAAAGAGCACGATGTTTCTGCATCCGCTGAGGTAGGATAATGGTCGTTACAAGGGGCATGCAAATTCATGTATCATTTGCGAGAACAGATTTCAAGATTTTGTTAAGATCACTATGTTTAGTATTGTGAACATATGTGATGCTGATTATATAGCGACGAATGCCAGATTTAATTTATGTATCAAATATCGTAACAAAAAAGGAAATAATAATAATTAAAAAGCAATTGTCATCTGTGAGATGTTTGAAACATTAATATATCGAGGAACATAAGAATAGAAAACGATAAAATCCATAGAAACCGAGATTCATCCATGCTGTAATGGAAAAAATAAGACTATCGTATTTCCGAGCGAGAATGTAAAGTTTGTAGACGCACGTAATCTATTTTAGCATTTTATTAATGTTATATCTTGCCGATATTATATATCTCTATTATTTGTAAAAGCATCCCACATATTTCTGGTTATTCAGAAATGGAGTTTCTGCTGAAAAAGGAGGAAATGTCCCAAAGCGAGCTCATAAACACGCTTGAGAGAAATGTGAGTATTTATACGATTTAACATTTTCATACTCCCAAAAGCCGACATCAATTATTCTAATTCCGATTTACTTAATTCGTTTTGCGATCTAACTGAAACTTCATTGTTGTCACGGGAATGTCTAAAAACGAAATTGTATGACATACTGATATTAAAAATACGTATTATTGAGTTATTTAGCATAAAAAAAGCATTTACAGTGGGCGTACAAAAAATGAAGTTCGACAACTATAATTCATGGATATAAAAGAATGGAAAAGTGCATTAACGTTTATTTGAAAAAATGACAAAAAAGTATATTATAAATAAAGACCAGCAAAAAATATAAGACTATCGGTTTTTATTTAGGTAGCGATATTGAAAACCGAGAATCATTACAATTTAAGAATTAATCATGAATTAGAATCTAAGCTCATGGTATTCAATAACATTTCACGGGGTCTTGAGAATAAACTTGACTCTCTATGGAATTTAATCGATCCGCATCATCCGGGAGGTAACGAAATAAAACAGTTTATCGATAAGATTTCGAATTCATGGATCTCTATCAATCGGCAGGTAATATTCTATGTATTTACTATTTTTTATTACCTATTCTTTTGGTATATAAGATGTTCACACAGTTACTGGACTGTGAAGTCATTTTGTACTTTTACTTGAATTTGTCTTGGTACCTTTCACATCATCTAATTAATATGTATTTCCCGTTTGAAAAATTGAAGGCCAGCTTAAATTAAGAAAAAATACTGCAAACAAAAAATTGTTAGATACACTAAAATGCTCAATTTTTTAAATGAAAGATCACTTGAACTTCTTCCAAAAATACTACAATCACAAAAAAATTGAAGGTCACCTAAATTCCTCTAAAATACTATTGTTTGCAAAAAACAATTGTACTTTCTCCTTTTTCATTTTTATTATATTTCAAATAATCATTTAATGTATAATTTTATTGAACTTTGTTTATATGTCATAATAATTTAGAAATTCATTAAATTATATATAAGTGCAGATTTGTGATAAATATTCTAAGATTCGTATGGCAAGTAGAACATTACATGGAGTCCCATTATCACTGCTATTGGATAAAGTAAAAAAAGAAGTGATCTTGTTAAAAGTATGTCTGCAGGCTCATGATCCTTCTTATAACCGTGGTCATGCCTTGGAAGGATACAAGTTAATTAACGAAGTTGAGAAACTTCTGAATAACTTAGAGAAATGTGATTATAAGGTAAGGGAGTTGACTAATCTTGACTTGAGATCAATAATAGTTCAATGTTTCTTCTTTTGAATTACAGTTACAGCAATATTTATCAATATCAAACATTATTCCGCATATTACAAAACTAGAATCAGTGGTGGACAATTATGTTTCCAATGTTGAGTTATTGCCTATGCAAAAGTCATTTTTATCTGATTTGAGTACGTTTTCATTTGTTGTGAAGTTACTAACAGGTGAATTGCTAGGATATGAGCCATTAGATCCTAATCAAATTCTGGCAGAGAATGTACCCAAAAAACCAGTTTTGATTATCAAGAATATTAAACGTAAAATTATCTGTCCTTATTATCCAACATAGAATCAATGTGTATGCGCACATGTATACATCTCAATTCCAATAAATATTTATTGCATATTTTTGAAAGCAGTTTGCATCTACATGTGAAGCAATATAAAATATTGACAGAAAATGAAAATGTTTCAATCATCTTAATTAATGTCTTTATTTACTTAATGACTGATATTTGGCAACGTGCTGCAAAAGGAATAGAATTTACAGCGATAAATTCTTATCGAATCTATACATAATATATTACTTTACAATATACAAAGGTACAATATATTTTTATCTAGTCAAGCAGACAAATGACTTAAATATTGGAATTTAGTTAATTAAGGGGGATATATAATAACACACTGTACTCGAGTAATTGTATAGAAGGGGACCTTATTAAAAATTGTGAGGATCAAATTTATTATATGATGTATGGAAACAAAACCAAGTGGTGTTCATGGAATGAAAATGGGAGATCTGGTATAATATACATATACATAAAAGTCCAGAGTCATTGTTTTATCGTTAAAATGCTACAGTCCACTGGTAAGTGTGATATCAAATTTTGATATTTGAAGACTAGATTAGAAAATACCTTCAAGATCTGGTAAAGTGGGTGGTGCAAGTCTTAGAGTAAGATCTTTACGCATAAATTCAGGTGGTAGAATTTGTTTATGTTCCTGCAAAATAATGGCATTTTTTAACATAATACTATCAAAATATAGTATGAATTAACCTTTTAAGGACGAATGTCGACATATTGACAATATCAAGTGTATGCAAATAAATATTATTCATATCACAAAAGATTAGATCTTAGATTAGATTAAATTTTACATGTAATCCAGTTCTCGGAGAAAGATTCTTTTAATATTTTAAGTCCTCGTCCACAAAGGGTTAATAACAAGAATAATTGCAATATTGCTTACATGGAATGATCTGGTAGGACGTGTGATATTAGTAACAATGGGAGCCCATCCCTTCGAGTGTAAACACTTATAGCAAGATCTCGGTTCGCCCAAACATTCTGAATGAAAACCATGACCACAACTGAAAACTATTGCATAATCCGTGCATTGTGACAACAAATGACGACATATTGGGCAAATCAGTGATATACTAGCACATGCTTTTCCTGCATCCCTAAATATAAAGATTCAAATAATTAAACAACTTTTAATATCGATTCAATGTTTAACATTGATGTTGATTCATTTAATACCTTAACGATTTTTTGAGTGCCTTGTGAAGCTCTAAACTGACCATATGTGCAGTAGTTTCTACTAAAGTTTGCTCATATCGAGAATGTGTAAGTACTCCAGATAGCAATTGTCTTATATCGCCTATTGTACCACTTGTTGCCAGTGGATGTTTTAGAATTTGTTCTAGCACAACGGACAGTGCCGTTGTACCACTCAGAAATTCTAACACGATCCTTAACAGTTTACCACTTAATTTTTCAACTGCAATTCAACATAGTTAATTCTTATTTGTAAATATAAAAACTATATTATTGGTATATTATTATACTGCTAACTAAAATACCTCTTTCATTGTTACTATTTGAATGAGTTTTAAGTATGTTTTCAACAAGCGGCATCCAATCTAAATTTCCAGCAGACCTTCTGCACAACCCAGCCAATTGTACAGTGGTATGAATTGTTTCATTTTCTGAAATCTCGTTTCGACAGTACTGGAAAGAAGCATTCATGAAATGCCTATAAATCAATTACTGCATTTGGGAATTCTTATACATCTTCAATTATCAACTGAAGGTAATTGGAAAAAACAAATATCAAATTCTAGTTTGACATATCAAAATCTCTGAGAATCACCTATTTGTTCTAAAAATATAAAATTTATGTTTGATCATATTATCAATATTTATTTCTATATAATATATTTACCAGTTCGAGATTATTTTGAAACTCTTTCAGAAGAATTTCAAATGCATCCTGATAATTGCCCAACTTTTCCAACATTACAGCTTCTGCATCTTTATGCTTTGCTTTTTGAACTATACTAAGTGCTTTGTTCAGTCTACAACCATGGGCACCTTGAATATGATGAACTACCTGTATTCAGATAATAATTAATTTCCGAAATAACGAGTTTTCAAATATGAGTATAATTGAAAATTTTACTTACACATTCTGGTTGCATGTCGCACATTAATTCCAAATACTTTTCTAACAATTCGATTGAGAGCTCTAATGTAATGTCTTCTTCTTTATATTGGACTATTTGATACAAAGCTTCCAATAGGATATACTGCAAACTTGGGTTATTTGTTAGCTTTCGTATGATTTTTTCAATACTATGTTGCATATGTGTTGCTATAAGCATCGCAAATTGATTTGCATTGATTCCTACTAGAGCTTCAATGTTAACCATAACAACTTCTTGTAATGAACTCTGCGAAAGACGTTCTAACCAGGGCCAGATATCATGGTGTCTGAATGGATGCAGTACCATACATTTGCAAACTGCAATCCAGTCTTCTCTGGCACTGTACAGCAACTCCGCAACTTGCATACTGTAACATTATGTACTGCGATACAAGTTACTATGTATGATGCTACCAGCATTAATAAAATTATGGAATTTCTTGAAATGCGGAATTTTAATGTCACACTTTGTTTATGAATTTATTTCACATTAGGTAGCAATCTAAATATCTCCTTCAATTATGATGATACAAAAAATATTTTGTATGCAATTTGCATCATATTAAAAGTTGAATTCAGTAGAAAGAATATTTTGATGCCAAGGTATATTTTAACAAAAATATTATTTATATATATACAGCAAAGGAGATAATTTAGTGAATCACCCTGGAAACACTTATACAATCATTAGCCCCTTACCAAATGATTTTGTTTACACCTACAACTATTAAACTTGTTTGTTCTTGATTATTTCATAGAAGAAAAAAGAAAATTTATATTTTTTATATAACGGAAGAAAAAAATATTTATGTAGTGTTAAAAAGAAATAAATAGCATTCATATTTGGTAAATTTTGTTTAAAATTTTCATGACACGAGTTTGACTTAATATTGTGTATGGTAAGGGGTTAATAAAATTAAAAAAGAACTTTTAGTTTATACTTACAACTTAGCTCGTTCAGCCAGATTGAGTAAAGTATTATCTGATATATTACGCAATTTCTTTGAACGTAACAATCCCAATATTGCGTTTTCTTTGTCAGTCTTAAGCTCTTTTGATGATCCCATATTTGAATCAGTACATAATATTTCTATCATCTTATTTAACATATTAGATTCCAAACTAACTGTATTTTCTGCGACTTCGTTAGCTACGAATATAAGAACTAGACTTCTTTGATCGTCAGTGATACAGTCAGGGTTCCTTGGACTAAGTGGTGTACTAGGCATGACAATATTTAGCAGTACATCTATAAGCCTCTGCCTTTGTCTGAGACCCATTTCAGATGTAAATTCTGGCTCTTGAAATGCAATTGCTATCACATCAAGAAATCCTTTCGCATCGAATTGAAGCAATGTTCTCAGATATGGATACTGCTTTTCTGAGTCGTTAGCTAAACTAGAATGCTGTGAAAGTAAAGCCCTCAATACATCTGTTTTTGCTCTTTGGGATTTACCTTCAGGAAGCTCGTCCCTTGGAAACCCACGACCAGCGAGACAGCAACTGGCATAAACCAGAATTGCATTACCAAGCTGTATAATATCTCGCGTTAATGGATTTATCGAATTCGTTAATGAACTTTGTAAAATAGGTACGAGTTGATGAATCGGAGCAGTAAAATCACCCAGTGCTGTTGTTTGAAGATGTATTAAAGCTTCCCAAAGTCCTCGTTGTCGACAAACTGTGGTCACCTATAAATTAAAATTAATTTAAACCAAATTTTTTAAATAGGAATTAAAAAATAATTATAATACAGGTTTTCTCCTACTTGATGAATGTCTAAGCAATCAACGTCTAATAGCACTATAATTGCTTGCAAGGAGTCTACTTTTCCCTCTTGATCATAAACAATAACTAATTGTTGAGCAATTAACGGTGGTAGTCGGGGTCGCAAACTTCCATCTAACAAAGGACTTTCAAGAGCGTGCAGATAGCATGTTTTAAGTCCCTCCGATTCGGAAACTAAATCCCATAGCTTCCCAAATAATAATTCCGTATTCTCTAACTGTATACAATATTCTACACATGTTGTGACTATTTCGGATTCTGTATTTTCATCTGCAGTGCAACGATTCAATTCTTCCATGTATTGAATTAAAACCTGACACACTTTATCACGTGCTATTTGTTTACGGCGTTGCTTTGAACCACGGAGACCAACGACTGCTTTTCCTTTATCTTGATAGAAAGAGAGACCCAATGCTAATGCTTCTGGAAATCTTTTCTGAAACAAAAGAACATTTCTAACATAATGCAAAGTAACATTCATATAGCTTATGCAGTTAGAAAAAAGAAATGATTAAAGTTACAAATTGAACAATTTTGTTAAAATTAAATTTCTCTAAAATTAAGAATATACAAACCTGCATCGTTAAATGCCTCAGTCGTTCTGTCCACGTTCGTATACATACTACATGCAAACTTTTCGTACCCAAGAATAGAAGTTGGGTACCAAATGTGACTACAGTATTATAGCATGCTCGTTCACCAGCTAATGCCATTGCCTAATACCAAAGACAAAAACATTTATTATTCTCACATTAGATAAAATTAGTAAAATTGTATAATGAATTTCTACCTTTGAGACATTTCCACCAGTTGACAGACCTTTAAAATGGCTAGAAGCATATGAAATACCAACACGACTCATATCTAAAGTTTCCAAATTATCCTGCGCTCTTACATCTAATAGATGTAATCTTTCTTGGTTATCCAGTACTGCTAAGGACCTTGGATTTAACCACCGTAAGTTACTTATTGTATAAGGAAGAGTCATTCTTCGTAAAGGAGACAATTTCACTCTTGAAGAAGCTTCGGTGCATACCTAAATGAAAATTTTAAATGGTAGAAAATTTTGGCAATGTGATTATTTAGTGAATAAAGTCATGAAACATTCCTACTTGATAAAAGTGAACCACATCATCTCTTGCAAGTGCAAGGACTGGGTCAATTACACGAGAAGTATCTGCTGCTTGTATAACAACAAGTTGCCAGGACAATTGTGGTGGTGCAACAGGAGCACCAGACAAAGAATGAGTTAACACAACACGTACTCGAGGCCTTATGCAAACTACTAGTACCTAAAAACATGTATGAACACATTTAACACGTTTTTAAAATTAATAAAGAAAAAGATATTTAAACAAACCTTTGATAATGTTGCCATTGCGACTAATGTATAATTTTTAAGGGGGTGCGATGGTAGATGATTCAGTAGCAAAGGTTCCAATGTACATACTTCGCCTCTAGATCCACTAAATAGACATCTACTGTCACAACCTCGTACTCCCATAACTCTTGTAAAATTTAATTCAAAAACTGATCCTCCACTGTCACTACATAAAGCAACTTTTGGTGAATCTGTGAACTATAGAAAAATAGGTGCTTTTTAATAATGTAAAGTAAAACATAAATTAAATACAAATATTATATATAAATAAATCTTACTTTAACATGTAGTACAGCTGTATCAAGAGGGTGAACATCAGTGAGTATTCTTAATACTTTTCCATTGAAGCTATCCATCATTAATATATGACCCCTAGCGAAACCTGCTAACACTCTGCTTCCATCATAATTAAAGCACAAAGCAGATACTGAACCCTGATGCCGTGCTTCTTGATCGCACCATCTCAACGTTTGTGAAGAATCAAAACCTAATACCAGACCATGACTGGTACCAACTACTAGCATATTTCCTCCAGCAGCAACTGCACTAGCCAAACCAGCATTAACTTTTTCCTAAATAAATATATTTATACAATTATTAGATCTAATTTAATATTTAATGATTCCTTGTGGTTTTTAAAAACTCACACTAGCTGATACAATTTGTGCAGATATCCCTTTCAGTATAACATGCCTTAAGATAGCACCAGAACATGTTGATTGTGAAGTTTTATTCGGTTTATTTAAAGAATTTAGTGATAAATGACTTCCAACACTTGTTGTTTCACTGCTCCCTAATTTTTCTCCTGCTGTTAAACCAAAATCATCGTCTGTTCCAGACAAGGAAGCACAATCAGGCTCTGTTAATATACTTTCTAAAGAGGGTAATTCTTCCACAGCAGGTATAGCATATTCTGTGTTGTCCAGCTAAAGGAAATATAGATTATATTATACTTTATTTCTTAATCTAATTACAAATGATAACTACATGTATATTTAAAAGTTTGAGACAAACATTCATTGATTGGTACAAAAACTTCGATATATTAAGAACTTAATTAAAAATCGAATTGTTAAAACTTTAAAAAATGTGGCACAGTAATTACATTACTTAGAAAACATAATAAAATAAACTTCACAACAGAATCATTATATCTATAATGATATAGAACATAACCTGCAAATTAAGTGTCTTACGGAGTTTATGTGTTTGCTATATAAATATTCAGAAATATTTAATCACCTCTTCAATATCTAAATTAATAATCTCTGTTGCCAGGTATTCTTGGGACTCAGCATCCGATCCCAACCCATTTTCAGCCATTTTTTATTCCACCTGTCATTCCACAGCTGATGTTCATGCATGAATATAGTAGTAGTTTTCCATTGAACTGTAGAAGAAATGCTTTGCAATAGATTTTCTGTCACATTTAGTACATATTAGTACTGTAGAGGACGCTTGCGCAAGTTACAATTCCAGCGTTTTCCGAAAACGAATTTCCAAGGCGCATGCGTACGTAAATTATTCCATGTGTATGTAGTATGTATAAATGTATAAACACATATTCAGAATTAGGTATGTATGTATGTATTTATTTAGGAAATAAATTATTTGGAAGTTTTTCTAAAATGAACGAACTGTAATCGAGAATTAAAATGAAAATAAAAATATATTGCGTGAAAACAGTGAAAATTAAGCACGTTAGAACGTTTTCCTTAGGCTCAATAGTAATAAGTAGAAGAAACTTCTTTGAATAGAATAGTGTATGCATTATTATGAAAAATTATTTATCTAGCATGAATTCGCTATACTGTATCGAATTCTGTATACACGCGAGAAGAAGAAACCATTAAACCATTTGTGAATTAAACTTAAAAAGTAATTTCAAGATAACGTTATTTAAAAATTTTTCAATATTCTCCGGTTTTGTTTGAAAAAGACCGCTGGATCATATGAGCCCGTACGGTGATAGGAACATCGATAATGCAGAGTTCTGCATTCTAGATATGTTGTTCGTCCTGCGCCAATGGATACCGACCTATAAATTTACCGACCTACAACTATTGCATTGCAGGCTGCAACTCGATAGGCGCATTATTCAAAAGCAAGGTTTACATAACAATATTTCCTTTCTCTTTTCTATCTAAAGGAATATTCAAAATATTCTCATGGAATATTAAAAAAATTCTAGAGCAATAAGTTCTACAAAAATTAAGTTTAAAAAAATCCATAATTTCTCATAGATGATATATAATTTGAAAAAAAATAAAATAATTTAAACAATTTTAGATTATAAAAAAGTGGTTCGAAAAAATAAAAAATTTTATATACGTAGTTGAGCAGTTTGTATACATTTTTAACTGTTGCTTTTGAACATACAGTTTTTGCTGTTATTGTTGTATATCCTATCTTCTTGTTACATTGAATTATAATAAAAAAAATTGAATTATAATAAATTCATTGCGCTGTACTAAAAAATACAAAACTTTCAATTTTTATTGATTTGTAATTAATCTTGTGTTTAAATTGTCAAAATAGTAATGATTTTGGTCCCGTAGTGTGGGTTTGAATGCACGTGTTTTACATCCCTTAAATATAGTTACAAACATAACCTAATATTTCACCAACTAAGCACATACCAGTACCTTTTCTATAAAAAAAATTCCACACATATTCTTCTAAAATTCGTTTACTTAGAAGGCATACATATGAAAATAAGATTACTTTCAGCATTACTACGATATGTGAAATGTGTATGCAAGTACTGCATGTCCGAATTATTACGGATACATGCCATAAATATTACTCGTTTACATACTATAAATGAAATTATTTTTCAGTAATCATTACATCATAGTGGAGATGTAGAATTCATGTATGTGTGTATAATAGAGAAGCAAAAACCTTTAATCAAAAGTTTCATTTTCAATAACATAAATTGCAACTGCTTCGGCAACTAATAGTTGCGAAGGTCAGCATTGTACTTTGAAAATAAAATTTGCGTTATAGAGAAATAAATCATCAGCTTATAAAGGATTAATATAAACACTCGAGTTACTTTGGAAATTTGCAAAAAGTCATGAATGTGTGGAGGCCAGCACGATATTTACTAGCAATCACTATTGTTAATTGTTAAATCTAATAAAATGGATTAAGGCTGTATACCGTCAGCCACCAGGGGAATATATCATATGTCACGCCCTCTTTTCACCGGCAGGTGTACTCAGAAGCGGTTCCAGTGACGTATGTGAGCGCGCGCAAGCCCAGTGAGCGCCTAATGTTTCTCTATTTCAGTACACGGGGCGCGTTCCGACGAAGTGGTTGTGTACGTTCAGTGTTGAAAAAGCTCGCGCTCTTGGAGGAGACCAAACATCAATAAATATCGATCGAGGAAATCACGTAACTGGAAGCTGACAAAGGGATCACTTTCGATTCAGTGTTTCCTTGTTGATTCAACGATTTTTTAGCGATCCACGGATATACGAGGACTTAAGGACATTTCCCTTGGGTAAGTTGACAGTTGGGTAGTTCTTGTTTTGGCGGTTTTCTAAGTCACGATAGAAATGGTGAATAAAAGAAAGGCGGTGCGGGTTTCGTTTGAACCTGTTAGAACATTTGTATATTAGGCTCTGCATTAAACTCGAGGGTATTGTAAGGCCGGTTAAAGACGGTATATATACAGATCGGTGACGGATTAGGTAGTAGCGGGAAATGTAGCCATCTACTGGCGAGCGTAGGAGGAGCAGTGCTTGCATGAATCTCGATCTATCGTTTTTTTCCATTTATTATTAACACCGAAGTTAGGAATATAAATTACATTACATTAGGATTACAAATTAGGAATACAATTATATAAAGATCTTTCTCTTCATTTATATTTCGTTGTGTTTGTGCAGTAAGCGAGGAAACCATTTCTGAAACCTTAAACGATCATTATATTGTCCATAGAATTATTAATTATACGAAAGCTAATTTCGGTATATACCGCGTACAGTGGCATATACAACATTTCTGCTAGATAGAGTTTTTAAGTTGATAGTTGATAGAGTTTTCTGTTGCTTATACTGTTTTTTTTTTTACTTTTGTCGCTCTCTTGATTGGAGTTGTAGTTAAAATTTGCTTTTTAAATATGAAAAGAAAATTGGAGTGGAAATTTTAACATTATACGTATTTACAGATGATAGGTCTCAAATATGGTCGAGAAGAAAACTGAATTGTACTGTTATGACTATATTATATTACATTAATACATTATAGAATTGTATATTTATGTGCGATTAATAATAAAGAACTAATGCTGTCCTTGTTTCCGTAATCGTATTGGACAAAGTGGTTCTGTCCTTCATCCTATACAATTTTTTGACAGAGTTAAAAATACTTTGTTCACGGCATGACTGTTTATTCGTTCGCGTGTTATAGGGGTAGTATGCACGATGTGGTATGTGGAAATAATAAAATAAAAAATAGTTATTTTGTTCTCGTGGTTGATTATTAATTTAGAAATTAATATAAATATAAGAAATATGTGTTAAATTATATATCATTTTTATTGTTGTGAAATAAGTATTCAGAGAAGCTGCTTGCGCGTCTCGAAAGTACAATTCCTTTATTGTTAATTACTGCAGACGAATTTGGTATTAGTAATTATTTTTTCAAACAATCGGTCTAATAGCTGACTACATGTGATTTTATATTAAAGAATAGTAGATTTAGTGTGTAATATGAATTAAGCATAACATTTTTGACAATGTGCATTCATGTATTTCAATATATTTTCAATGTTTTCTGCTTGGTGATAGATTTTCATTTGATTTCGAATTAAAAATCTCATAAATTGAATACATTATGCACTTCATGTTGCAACGATATGTAGATACAGTGCAGAAGTTAGTAACTAGGAAAGGGTAGGTTTCTATGAATTATATTCGCTTCAATTTCTTCGGGAATATTTATGCCTGAATATTTGGAGAAACTATTTTCTAATATTTATTGCACGCATTAGCTTAAAAGCCTTAAAAAAGCTCGGAATGAAACTAATAATAAAATATTAGATTTTCTTGACTAAATCGATTTTAGTAAATCTTTACAACATAACACTCTTCTGGCTTGTAATTATAATAAAAGGAAGATCGTGTTTTATTATTTTTTAAAAACAGATTTGTACTTTCATTATTTTAATCGCTTAAGACTCTTGTCCAAATTAAAGATGCTTACGGTGTAATTATATACTGTAACATCCAGTTTTCATGATCAATTCTGTGCGATAAATCTCGTGAAAACCCATTTGGCAACGAAAATTGGAACAGCAGCGTACATTTTTTTTATGACCCTGGTGCTAAGACGATGTTATGGTCTTATTGTGCTAGATCGTCGATGTGCTTCTTTTTATTGGCGAAAAATGGAACTCTCTTAAAGTGCGTCCAAGTAACATGCGTGTGTAACACACAAGTGCTATTTTTTACTACATATATTATTTGAAACAAATCAAACTATACGAAATCGATTTGAACCTGTGAACCCTGTATTAAAAATTATTAATCTATTGTTTAAGCATAGAAGAACAACGAAAGATACCTAATGTGTTGCATAGCAGCATAGTGAATAGCGCATTTATCGTGGATCTCCGTCGAGCATGTTTCTCATCGAAATTATCTGACAATCGATTGCTCTTTTGTCTTGCTGTGCACCATGACCTACAGGGTGTGGTCGCAGTTTTAAGGTTATTAGGAAGAGGATATAAAATAGGACTTAGTAGTAGTCACGCGATCACTTCTTAATCGCTGCTGCATCTAGTTTGTTGATATTTTAAGCTCTGCGAAATCACATTTGGTATTTTGGTTTAATACCATTCGTTAAAGGGTACAGTCGAGGGTCAGAAGTGAAATCTTGAATCCAGCGTAATTATATCGCGTAAACAAGTCATGTGCAAAAGTTTTAACCCTGTCGATATAAAATCGAGAACCTGATTTTTAGCTTGTTTCCCCTATTTAATAGCGTGAAAAAATATTCTACAAAATATGAATCTGGTTAAATACTCAGATACATACTCTGCAACTCGTTTCTTTTATTTTCAACTTAAAAAAACTTTCAGAATTCAGAATAGATCGAAATTGACTATTGACATAAGAGTTAAGTATCCTATATGTTCATTGTAGAAAAGTATTTTTCTTTCTATGAGAAAGCATTAGAAAAGTTGGAATTCGATTTGCAATAGAATTTTCAAATTTTTCGTACAACTCCGAACATCTTTTTGCATTTTACATTTGAAAGATTTCACTCGAAAGCATTTGATACGAAACAAGCAAATTACTGTATCCATCCTATACTATTAATTAGATCCGTATTTCCTGATTATCTATCGTTCTTTGTAGATAAGAAAATTCTATGTATTATTATCAGTGTATGATTTAAAGATATTAGCTATCGATTCGATCTTCTAGACCACTTTCCTTTGCCTCTTACGTCAATTGTTTCGTTATAGATATGTATTTAGAATTTCGATAACGATTGCATAATCTTCTTACGAACGTATAAGATATTAAATCATTTTTAGAATATTTCTGACGTTGATTACAAGTTGTTCTTAGTTGAAGTTGTCTGGTGTTTTGGAACTGTTGAATTAATCTTGGAAAAGCTAAGTATAATAAGCGTTGCGGTTAATTGTACGAAACATTATTTATGCAATTGATACTTATTTAGAAATAATATTTTTACTATATTACAAACGATTGTAGAAATAGAGGACATTTCGATTTTTACGTACACGATAAATATGCATGTTTCTTCTAATGCTATGTTTTTTGGAGCTTCTGTATCACACCACACACAGTCTGGTATTTTAATGTATAAGATAGCTTATATATATAGCTGTAATATATTATATTAATATATGTAACTATAATATTAATATTATTATATATATAGTTATAATATTAATATTAATATATATAGCTATAATATTAATACTAATATATTAATATATATATAGCTATAATATATAAGGTAGCTTTTTAATATTTAATTACTTGCAAATATTTGTATACCCAACGGAACAATTTATGAAAATGGCAATTTGCATAAAAGTTGTTAATTTAAAAAAAATGTTATCCACTGTGTTAGAAAAAGAAAAGGCACAGTTGTGGGTGGCGCCATGGAGATCGCGCCGATTCGGATATCGGGCAGACATCCGCAATAAAAATATAATTTATCGTTTGGGTGAGATTAGGTGAAAAGCATACTTTTGGGTGGCGCCATAGGGATGTTTGTGTATAAGCACAGGACAATTCAGGAACGTTCGAAGCAGGTGATCGAGGGGAGTCACCATGGCGACCGCCTGGTCGATTCCTACGTCTCTGGTTGGGAAGAAAATCAACGAGAAGGATCCTGCTTTATCCCGACTCATTTGGCAACTGATCTATTATACAATGTGCACCAACCACGAAAATTCACGACTCGCGAGACTACATACAAGCTTCATGTGGTCGGGTTCTTTGAATACATATAGGAATACAACTAGAGGACAAATGGTGTTACATTAGATTGACGCAAAAACAATTTTGTTTTTGCTATTTCAATTTACATCGATGCGAAATATTTAATAACTAACATTTGTCGAATTCACCGTTTTAATAATGAACATTAAACTTAATAATTCTTGTTCATCATCGTTCAATGATCCTAAGCTGTGAGACGTATTTACAGTTTAATCAAATATACAGGGGGTGTCATGTAACTGATGGTACAACCGGATAGGGGTTGATTCTACGTCAAAAAATAAGTCGGAAAAGAAGAATAGCATTCTTTCATTTGAGGCTCCGTTTTCGAGAAAACTGAGTTGAAAGATGCGTCAAGTTCGAGTGACTTATAGTAGAACGAGAAGTATTATAGAATTGGTATGTACAGCAATTTCTCCCTAATTAACGCTCAGATTGCGCATAAAAATGGACAATTTGGGAAGAGGAGACACGATTATTCGAGCCTCGCGGCTCGTTTTTATAGTTGTTGACAATCGGCGTCTATGAAAACGAGCCGCGAGGCTCGAATAATCGTATCTCCTCTTCCCAAATTGTCCATTTTTATGTCAAATCTGAGCGTCAATTAGGGAAAATTTACTGTATTTTCTTACTCCGTTATATAACGATTCCAATACTTATGATTTCTGGCACCATTTACGAATTTTCCAACAATAAATCTTTTCCGGCGAACCATGCCACCAGGTCAACAAATAGTGGTCTTTGGTAAGTAAAAAGGAAATGTCGACTCGTTCACATTATGTTTTAATGTTTTGCGCTCTTATTTTCGCGTCGATGGTACCATTAACTACACAATCTTGTATACGGCACTATTAAAAGCAAAGTATCGAAAGTTGTCCATGAACTCTATTAACGTAATTTTTTTTATCAATGTTTTTGAAAGCAGCTATTGACAGCAATCATTGACAAATATCTAGAAAATTAATGAACCGATTTAGTCGAAGTTTCTTATTCAACAGTTACTTTACTCCTAAAA